CTGTAAAATGTTTTAATTAATTGAAATTTTATTACAACTAATTCTGTCAAATCGTATGATTTTTCTCATTAATGCTTTAAATTAAGGAAAATATTTTTGTCTGACATTTATTTGAATTTATAATTTGCTTAATAACTCGTATATTTCATCTCTTTATTCCTCATTTGCTATTAAACCAAAAGTTTTGATTTTAATACAAAATACATGTATTATAATTCATTGTGTGGTTTGAATTCACGCAATATTTATTAATGTATTACAATTGTTATATTGGACTCAATTCTGTGATTGCATACACTTATTATATCCCTATAAGAACTTTAAACTTAATTACTTTAGACTTCAAAAGTTTTTATAAACAAATATAATTTTATATTTTTAATTTTTAAGCCTATCGTGAAGTTCTGTCGGCCGAGGAGTCGGTCGGAGCCGACGGCAAAGCGCGACGAATTGACGGCCGATCTCTACGAAGGTATCGGCTCAGCGACTATAAGTGGCTAACTTATGGACAGATCGACACAATCACCACAGCTATGGCCAAAGGACTGGCGGCTAATGGGGCGGCCTTTGGGGACAAGATATTGATCCTATCGGAGACACGGGTTGAATGGTTTCTGTGCGCTCAGGCGATTGCCAAACTCGGCGGTTGTATTGTTACCCTCTTCTCTAATCTCGGTATGTGTTTGTATTATCTCACGATTTACTACTTGTTATGATTTACATATTGAGTGAGTGAGTGAGTGATGAGTTAAATTCACTACTCATCTTATATCTAGATAAACCTGTTTATCATATAACCCGCAATTATGTTAACCCGATCTCTCCTCCTGTATAACAACACATAAACAAGAAACCCAGTCTCTTACAGTTAACACACAGTTATCCTCTAGGCGATAGTCAAAATTACTTATGTTTTAACGGTGAATAAAATAGTTTTAATCAAATTGCAATACAAATATAAAATAGATATAAACCGGTTTTATTATAATTTTGATTACAAACTTATGTTTTGCACAATTTATAGCCTTTTGGCTATAATTTTAAAACATTTCTCATCAATTAATTATAATTTATTTTTTGATTGCAATTTAATATTAATTTTCAACATTTCATATTTTTAACACATAAATGTAAACTAAAAAATTAATATTAATGAAAATCTTTTGTCTCCGAAAATATGAAAAACAGGTGACGAGGGAATCGTTTACGGTATAAATCAAACAGAAATCAAACTAATGATAGTGTCGTGTGATTTGATGCCAAAAATACGTTCACTAATCACTAAAATACCGACCGTTCAGACAATCGTTTACATAAATCCTAATAATCTCCAGAAAGACATTACTAGCTCTCAAGTGAATGGCTTTCCCGACAATATCCGACTCCAGTCCCTGCAAGAGGTGGAGCGCACCGGCACTCAGATGTCGGACATTCAGTTCCAGACACCGAAACCGGAGGACGAGTTTGTTATAATGTATACGTCGGGCACAACGGGTACTCCAAAAGCGGCGATCGCCACACATCGGCAAATGGTCGACGGCTCGGCCAACGCCGTACTCCTCGTCGTCAAAGATGTCATCCAAGAGAGTCGGAGTCATATTTATATAGCATTCCTGCCATTGGCTCATGTCTTGGAGCTTACCATTGAATTCTTCCTCTTCTATGGTATTGTCATTTGTCTCTTAGATCTCAATTGCAGTTCAATAAAAGCTGATTATTAAATCTAATAATTTGAATGCATGTTCACAGGGGGTGTGAGGATAGGGTACGCCTCGCCATTTACACTGACCGACTCGGCCCCGGGTCTGGTAAAGGGCCAAAAATGTGATATAAAACTGTTGAAACCAACTGTCATGACATGCGTTCCTCTTGTGTTGGATCGGATCATAAAAGAAGTTCACGACAAACTGAACGCCCGGACGCCCGTCTCCGTCGACTTCTTCACATACATAATGGGCTACAAATCAAAGTGGACTCAAAAGGGATACGACTGTCATATTGTCAACAATCTTGTCTGCAGTAAAGTTCAGCAACAATTGGGCGGTCGGCTGCAGATCATGATCTGTGGCGGCGCTCCACTCAACGCCACCACTCAGGCCACTATCAAAGCCGCGCTCGATGTGATACTAGTGCAGGGTATGTGTGCTCTTGGCTTATGATTTAGCATTTTGTTATCTCAATCATGAATTTTTCGCTCACTTTTATGAATTTATTCATGAAAACTATTTCAATGACAAAAATTGTTTTCTTATTTGTCTTTGTTTTTGCTTTTCGCTGACTTTATGAGACATTTCTTAAAGTTTTAAAGTTTTAAAATTTTTAAATATTTATTTTTTTTATTGAAGGCTACGGAGCGACTGAGACAATGGGCGCTGTGTTTTGTATGTATTATATATTTGCGAAACATGTCATAAATGTGTTTATATTAATTACTATCTGTTGATTGAATTTTATCGACAGGTATGGACTTCCATGACCTGTCCTACGGTCGAGTGGGCGCACCTCTACAGGGGGTTAAAGTCAAGCTCATCGACTGGGATGAAGTTAGTGGACATCTATTTTGATAAAAACAATAAAATATCCTATTTTTGTATTAACTTCTTGTGATTTTGCCAAAAATAGGGCGGATATCAC